ATTACATTGGATCACATGTTCTCTGTAGTTTTCCATTGTATTCTTTTCTCCCTTTTTCCCCCCTTAACGCTCTGTGTAGTTTCTTTGCTCTGGCAGCCAGATTTCTCTCTGAATATCAACCACAGCCATTCCATGGTAAGAAGAGATATTCAGCAAGTCATCTTGCAAATCCCCGATTAACAGAAGCAAAGCTTTCCACTTTTCCTTTTCTACCCCCACTCCCCTTGCCCTTTTAACATGCTTTCATTATTTGAGTTCCATTCAATGTGATCTGTGATTTCCCTTCCCCTCCCGTTTCGCAGGCCTGGATTTTCTGGTCCCCGTCGCAGGTTACCTCTGCAGGCTGTGTCACAAATTCTACCATAGCGACTCCGCTGCCCGGCTCGCACACTGCAAGTCCCTGATGCATTTTGAGAACTTTCAGGTCAGACCCTTTGGCGATTGCATGGCCTGGCATTTGTTACCCCCGTGCGTGTCTCTCCAGCGAATCCACCACGTTAGCTGTCCTGTCTCCAGCTCATTTCCATCATCCTTGGTGTCCACTGTGCCGTAGTTCTCTCCTGGTGTGCTCTGTGTGTGTCTCCCATCACCCCTGTAGATCTAAAACCAGTCCAGTCCTGCTTCCCAGCTACTGCTGCTGTCATCTTGTTTTCCGTTTCTGGCTGGGAATCTTCCTCAGAGTGTCTGCTCTGTTTGCTGAACCTGTGGAGTCTGTTGTTCAGTCTAGGCCTCTTCTGTTAGACCAGAGACAGATGGGTCAAGGTGGGTAAGAACAAAGGACAGAGGCTGTTCCTTGTAAAGAAAGCTGGTGCATCTTCTCCTGTGGTACTGCAGGAACAGCTCCTTTAGCCAAAATTGTGGGTGTGATTCATCCATGAAGAGGCCTGGTAAAATCAGATACTCAGCTTTAGAAGTCTGGAAATTTAACATTACAGACTCTATGTGATGGAATCTACACGCTGTGGGAGTCTGTTTGTCCCCAGGGTCAGCCTGCAAGAGGAAGTCTGTCTGTCTGTCTGTCTGTCTGCTACCCTTTCCTAGAAACTCCTTAGCACAAAGCTCTGCCAACTGATGCTGTTCCTTTGCTTTTCTGGCTCCACCTAAAGAAGCCCTATTGCCCCTTGCTGCTTTTGTATCTAAAGCTTTTCCTACTGGGCTGGCCTGGAATCTGCCTCCATCGTTCTGTCCTTGTTGACTTGCCAGGGGGTGAGGGGCCTGGATTAGTACCTTGTGGAGGGTACACAGGGCTTGCACAGTCTCTGCCCTCTCCTGTGACCACTGCCTGGGCCCTGCCTGTGTGGGAGAGCAGTATTTGCTGACCTTGGCAAGGAGGGAGGCTCTCACACCAGCTTTGTCCTCTGCCTGCACCCACACTCTGCTCCCAAAAGCTGCTGGTTTTTCCTACAAGCTTATTAAATAGTGCCTAAGAAAAACCCAAACACACACACCCATTCCTGAACCCCCAAAAATTCATGTTTTTCTTGTAGTCTTCAGACAGAAGAAACTATTCCTAGTCAGCCCTCACTGCCTCCAGCAAGAGGTGGGGTGCTGCAGAAGCCAGCACTTAGAGCAGTGAATTTGGGATGGCAGGAGACCACAGCTGTTCCTTCATGGTTGCTCATCCTCTCCCACTCCTGCAGCTAGTCATTTCAGGAGTGAAGGAATCAGTCTTGAAGTTTTCCTGGCTTGTTTTAGATCAGCTTAGAGCGAAACTGCAGCAGCAGTCACTTATGTCACTCTTTTGGCCCACTTAGAGCTGAAATCAGATGCTCTTCAAATGGATGCCAGAGTTACCTGGAGGGATTTTTTTATGAGAAGAGTTTAACCTTAAATACCTGCAACCAGATAACTATTGTTCTTGGCTGCCTGGGTGCCTCAGAGTTGCCACAGTCTGAGTTAAATCTTTGTCACTGTTGTATATTGGAGTATTCTCAGCAGAGTAGCTCAGCAGAAGGTTTCAAAGCAAAGAATTGTCTGCTGCTGGGGCAGTTCACAGCATCACTGAACACGAATTTGCATGCTTGTACCTGCTTTAGGTTGGGTACAACATTGACTCAACTGATCTAGTCCCAATGCAATAGGATATTGTGCATTTCCCACCGTTTGAGGGCAGAGAAAGAACAAGCCTGCAGTGATAAACTGAATTACAGCGTAAAGCTGCCTGTCTGATGGGCTGTAATTCCACATTGCAGACTGGTAAAAGCCATTTGGCTCAAAATTGTTTCCTTAAACTGTCAGGTGTAATGGCCTGTGCCAGTTCAAGGAGCCCTTTAGGAGACAGCTGAAAGGGAGTTGATTGTGGAGGGAACTGCTGTGGAAAAGAGGGAGCTTTGGTTTGTTCCTTTAGCTCACGCTCTGGATGTTGAAGACCAGGTTCCTGCTGTGTGTTAGCTAGAGAGAGTGGCTGTTTTCCTGAAATCTGGTCTAGAACATGGCTAGTAGCCATTTTAATCTCTTTACAGACCTCTACTGGTTCATCATGATAGCGAGTGCAAATAAGTAATTTTATTGATGATATGTTACCTTTATTCTGTGGAAAACCTCAGTGCCTTGTAACAAGATATTCTTGATATCTTAGTCTTCCTGTCAACAGTTCCACCGACTGTGCAGATTGTATCAACAGAGTGAAGAAATATTAAGCTTTCAACTTAAGTCTTGCTTTGGCTGATAAACATTAAATCTCACCTGTAGCTGAGGGTGGTGCAGAGCCTCATGTGCCCAGGGTACGTGTCCTGGCAGTAGCTGAAGCAGGAGCTGTCACTTGCTCTGTTACATCTACAAAGTCCCGAGTCTGACTGAGATTAACAGTTGCCAGAACATGATTTTTGTCTCGGGAGCCACAAGTCTGCCATGCACTCGCTCAGCATTAAGTAATGTGAGAAGGACTTCAGTTTTTAATATCACCACTTTTCCTCACAGGAGCTGACCTTTCTCTGTTGAAAGCCTCAGCAGCCAGGCCAGGAGCTGCTGAGACCAGTCGTGCCCCTGCCACTCACCACTGTTTTTGTACAGGTGTTCCTGGACCAGCTGCTGCTTTGCTGCAGTGACAGGAGCTGAGCTGGGCTTCCCTCTCACGTTGGTTTGTTTGTATTTGCAGAGATACAAGGCAGCGAGGCATCGTGCCACAACTGCCTACCCCGAGGCTCCTTTGCATTCCCAGGGCTCCAGCTCCCAATTGCTGGATGATCCAAAACAGCCTCTTGCTACAACAGCACATACCAGCAAGAAGATGAATGATGATCGTGGGATAGACAAGGAGGGTACAGAGCCGTCAGCCCTGCAAGAACAAACTCCAAGGTCTCTGGAGGGTAAGGGTGAGCTGGCCACCTCTGGGGCAGAGGGCCAGAGCCTGGCCAGTGTGACTGACCATGTGTGTGGTATCATGGTTGTAGAAGAAGAAAATCTACAGGAAGAGAGCAAGTCCACTGCCACTAGTGCTGCCTGCGTGTTCCCCGAGGAGAGCCGCGCCACAGGGGAGCTGTTGGGACACGAGGAGGAAGCCAACGCAGCCAGGCAAAAAGAAGGCACAGATGACCACCAGGATCCAGGGAGTGGAGGAGGGTTAGGACAGAATGAGGCAGCAGATGCAGGCCAGGAGGCAGAGCCTTCCTCCCTCGCCAAAGGTGAGACAGCCGGTCTCACCTCTGGGTGCAGACGCTCTTCTAGGCGCAAACCCAGATAGAGTGGCCTTAAAGGAGAGCCCTTTACATATGATATTTGCTGGAAATGTTTATTTTCTGAGTCTTTTAATAGAGCAAAACCTTCAACTTTACTGCTGTTTTTATTTTAAGAATAAATAAGCCTGGCTTTAGCGTGTCTAATACAGGATGGTGTTGGTTATTACTTGTACAGTTGGGATACAGCAATTATGTGGAAAGACTGAGGCTTGGACTGTTGAACCTGAAAGGGGACAAAGTTCATGGAGTAGATGGATGCAGACTTAAGAATTCTTTGTAGTCCCTCTCATTTCCTTTCCAAGCAGAGAAGTTTCTCTCTTGGGAGGCTGTATGCTCAGTTTTGCTTCTCAGAACAGTTTCCTTTCTAAGACACACACTCTTGGACAAGCACTGTGTCCTAAGCTAGGCAACAATGTGCACCTTGGTCCTTTGTTAGTACTACAAGGCCTAATCTAGTCTGTTCTCATAGTGGAGACTCTCAGGAACATATTTTGTTTCAAACTGATTTTAATAAAACAATTTCTTATAAATAACCTCTTTAACTTTCAAAAAAAACTCCTTTAACTTTACATAAGTAGAACAGTAAGACTTGCTTCAAAGTGCTGGCTCCAGGCCATCCTGACAAGATCACAAGTTAGACCAGATGGCTCATGCCTTGTCAGAATGTCCAGGGAACGCTCTGCTCACATCCCAGGGCAGGCAGGCCCCTGTCTCTGCTCTCTGTAGCTGATGCTGTGCTGGGAACTAACCAGGCTGCTCTGCCTCTCTCCACCCTGGAGTCTGGAACAACAGCCGGAGAAGCTGGGCAGCTCCCAGTAATAACAGCAAAAACATCACCCTGGTAGCTTGTCTTATCTGCTTGGCAGGGAGTGGAAGCAACCAGTGGTCTGGGACCATGTGCCAATATTTGGTACATCACAGTTAATGTGACTAAAGGACAAGTTGTAGTTTCAAGGCAGGAGCTGGCCTAGGGCCTCCCTCCCCAAGGCTGTCACCAGAGTTAGAGTTGGGACAAGCCTGGAGTCAGGACAGCCCCTGCCTACTGTGCTTTTTCTGAGGGAAGAGGCTAAAGCCATAATACTCCTTGCTTGGATTTAACAGTACAAGAGAGCAAAGATCATTTTTCCTCTTTGTGAAGAGGGCCTGCTTGCAAACTACCTGCATGGCATCAGATTTCCTACAACCAGCTTTAACCAAGTGTGAGTGCCAGGAGCAGAAAGAGCCAGCTCTCCTACACCCACCCATGTGCTTTGCACCTCTCACAGCTAAAGGAAAACAGAACATGGAGGTGAATGGCAGGACACAACCAGGGGAAGGAACAAGTAACAGGCACGAGGCACCTCTTCTATTCAAGTTTTACATTAAATTGGTGAGCAGTAAAAGTCCCTCAGCAACACTAGCTGAGAGTCTGTGGTCAAACACTAGGCAGAAGGCTGGGGGCCCTGTCCATCAGCTCCCATGTTCAGCTGCTCGTTCTGCTGCTGGAACTCCAGCCGGGCCTGGCGGTTGGACTCCAGCAGTTCCTTCAGGCAGGTGTGCAGATAATCATTCTTCTCCTCCAGGTGATCTAAGCAGGAGTTGATCTGGTCCAGCATGGAGTTTATTGCTGCATATTCTAAAAGGAAGAGAGACTGAACAGTGTAAGTGTGTTGTCACTGCAGGCAGCGAGAGCTCTGGCAAAACACGCCCACAGCGTTTGGGCTGTGCCTTATCTGCCCCCGGGGTGGGTGAGGTAAAATACAACTGAATCCTGCATGGGTTGTGTTCTCTGATCAAACACAGCCAATGGGAGGTTGGATCACTGGTAACAAGACCTAAGGCAAGGTACCTGGGCAGTCCAAAGCCACTGTGGGTATATCTGCCAGCCCTGGATCTCACACACCAACAGCTGACCACGGGCTCAGTGCTGACTGCAACAGTACCACAGAAATCCCAAGGACAAGTCAGCCTTTTTAGCTGCCTTTGGGATCATCTTTCCTGATGGTGCAGGCATTTTGGGAGCGTGCCACAGTGTTTACTCTCTGTGAATTTTCTGTGAAAGGCTCCCAGGCTGGGGTGTGCTTCACCAAGGGCCTGGCTGGGGTCAGGCTGACAAAACATGGCTGTGGCAGGAGCAGGGATGAGCCCAAAGGTGCTGGTAGTGGCACTGTTACTCCTAAAGGGAGGTAAGTGTGGGGCACCAAGTTCAACCACAGGATTTCATGCACCATTAAGGCTTTGGGTACTTCAGATTAAACCCAGGCTCAATGACAGTCGGTTCCCCAGGTACAGTTTCTTATTCACAGCAGTTTCAAGTGCAGCAGTTTGCCTTGGTACAAGGGCATTTCACAGTGTTAACACTGTTAATCAGCTGAAGAGTGTTGTGCTACTGCACGAAACACCTGCTTTTGGATTGCTCCAAGCAATATTCACACAGTCCTAAAGAATAACAAACAAACTAAAAAAAGAGACAAGATAAACCTCTGCTGAGGTTACTCAGGAACCCCAGGAGGTTACAGGGACCCCACATGGAGCCAGTCCCATGTTTCTTTCTGAAGCCACACGGGCTGGGTGAGTGCAGGGAGGCTGTTGGGGAGCTGTGACCTGTGGGCACGGAATATTTCTTTGAAATGAGTGCTTGTATTTCAGAAAAATTCTGGATCAGTGCTGGAAATCAGCTGCCAACTTTCATTAGCTGAATATAAATAATAAACCAGCAGGCACTTGGAACAGTACAACCCAACAGAAATTAAACTGTTGATTTCTGCCCTTCATTTTTCGTATGTCATGTTAGGCTGGTACCTTTTATATTTGTATTTATTGCATCAGGTATTGATGGGCATTTTCAGAAGAAGTTTTGATGGAGTAATTTTTTTTTTTTTTGCATTCTATTGGGTACTGAATTCATGTGGGTAGCTGAAGTTGTAGAGGAAAATTATTACTTCTAATTTTACCTACTGATTAAAAGTTCCCTGGTGCCCCAGCACACCAGACCCAGGCCCTGCCATTCCCAGCAGCTCTAAAAGAACTGTGAATATTTAAACATTGCAGTCATTTGCAATATTAATAGCTAAGGAAAAGTTTCATTATAAAAAAATAATTGTCCTCCTTTTCTTACACCACTTTGAAGCTGTTCAGAGTGTTACAGCCTTAATTCTTTGGATAATTGTGTGTGTTGCATTTGAGTTGTTTATAAAATGGCCTTGCATTTCCAAACTGATCCCACAAACACAGGCTTTCTAAAAAAAGTGGCAATTAGCATTATTTTTCAGATCCTGGTTCAAGGTGTGTGAGAATGTCCATGAGTCACAGCTCTACTTCAGTGTGATGCACCACGTTGCAGTGAAATGGTGAGCACACCCCAAGCAGACACAGTAGCTACTTGTGACAAGTGATATTCATCAGCCTGGCAAGAAGTCTGTAATCACAGCAGGAGCCTAATTTTCTCAGTGCCTAAAGCTCAAGCGAAGGCCATATAATTTGTGCAGCTTTGGGAAGTGAAAAAACTTTAACCATTTAAAAATAAGCTGTAAAAAGACTGTCTTCCACTTGTTGCATACTTGGTGGATTTTTGTGGAAACAACCACATTCCCTAATGAAAACACTGACTGAGGTATGGCAATTGCATTGACTCCTCTGCATGCTTACAAGGACAAAAATAAGGTTTCTATTTGAGATCAAGGAAGTGATCCACAGCTTCAGCTCCAGGACCAGGAAATAGCTGCAGCCCTCTATGACCAGCTGCTGCACACAAGTCAGCTGATCACAAGCTGAACAACCTAATTAGACTTGATGTAGATCCAATTTAGTGACTTTCTCCGTCACAGCCAACGTGTCTCTGAGCTCTTCAGAAAGTGTGAAATGTAAATCACTCTGATGATGCAAAGCACTGACCACTCTTGGGGTGTTTCAGGGCAGAAATGATCCTTCTGTCACTGCAAGTGGATCCCAGGGAACTCTGAAATCCACCTGTGTGGGTCACATCTGGAAACTGAACGGTGTTATGGGAAACAGCAGAATCCAACTCTTCACCACCTTCAAGAGAAGGGTAGCAAAGTGCTTACTCTGAAAGAGTTCCAGTTCTAAGAGTGACCTCTACGTCTGCATTACAGCTCTGCTGTCGTCTCACTTCCTCCATCAGCTGGTTTTAACTGGACAGGACTGCATCAGAAATTTCAGACCCGGGCACTGTAGAAACGCTCCAAAGTGGAATTTACCAACCTATCTGCATTAAATTCCCTTTTCCCACGCATGACTACTTCTCCCAGATCTGCCCACGGGACCTGCCCTGTGCTCTCACAACCTGAACATCCTCTTTCTCCTTGAGCACCTGCACCCTGTGCAGCAGCAAAGGCACAGAATCACCTTTTCACAAGAAAAAAACCAACCACCCCAGGGGCAGCACGGAAGAGCTCGAAGAGCTCGGGGCCGCACGGCTGGGCAAGAATCAAACCCTGCAGCCCCCACTGCTGTGCAGCAGGCACACCTAGGGCGTCGGGCACCGCCGCCAGCAGGACACCTGGGCATACCTGGACATATCTGGACACACCTGGACACATCTGGGCACACCTGTGCTCTGCCACCCGCAGCCCACGGGGCCAGGCCAGGCCAGACCGTGCCCCGCTGGGGCTCCCCACTGTGGCGGCGGCCCCGCTCGCCCCCACGCACCTTCCTCCCCGAAGGTGTCCCCGCCGTCCCCGTCGTCGTCGTCGGGGCCGCCGCCCACCACGTGCGGGTCCCCGTTGGGCCCCGCCATCCCGCCGTGCCCGCGCCCGCGCCTCGCCGCCGCCCGCACGGCGCGCCCCGTGCGCGCGCAGGGCCCACGGCCAATGGGAGGGCGCGGCGCCGCGCGCGTGACGCCGGCCGGCGCCGCGGTAAAGCCTGTGGTTAGCGGCGTTGGGCGCGGGGCGGGAGGTGCGCGGGCGGGCGTGGAGAGCAGCGCTGGGCAGCGGGATGGCCCAGGGGCGCAGCGCCGCGCCCCACGTTCCTCGGGGATTTTCCCCAAAAATCCCGGTCTCTTTGTCTCTTTGTCCCTCCCCCGATGTCTTCAGCCCTCCCCAGGTTTCCCCACTTAGAGGCCGCCGTCAGCACCCAGCATTTCTTTCCCAGGACGCTCTGGATCCCATAGAGATGGGAGATCCCAGGGATGCTCTATGGATAGACCTGCATCCTGCCCGTGCGGGACCATCCCGCGGGTACTGGGGCAGCAAAGCGACGGCTTTGCTGCTTCACCCGCTGAGCGGCTTGAACCACGCCCAGGTCACCTTCAGGTGCTCTTCCCTGAAGGAACAAGCACAGTTCGCTTTGCCCTTCCCTGTCTTTGGCCCAGAATCAGCTGCACCTCAGTCGGCTTGAGATCTCATGTCTGCGTGGTGTTTTCATCCCCAGGAGAGATGTCACTGGGATGAAAATAACCTGCAATTAAAGGATTGATTCGAGCAGAGCTTCTGAGATCAAGGACTCTGATATTAAGTGGGTATTTGGGACAAAGACAAAAGAAAAGGTCATGTTCTCATTTAACATCACAGCCACCTCTCCTTTCTGTAGGGTAACCCTGCTGCGCTGCTGAGTCGGGCCTGTGTCACACCCCAAGTAGGGGAATTGAATATTAGTGTAATTAATGGACATAACCACTGTTAATAAAACAGATGATGACTTTCCGGGGGTGTGCACTCACACTGTGCATGTGTGCCAGTCAGAAGCTGCAGCCCCACCGGGTAGGACGTGCTCCCAGAGAATCATAGCCTGGGTCAGGTTGGAAGGGACCACAGTGGGTCACTTGGTCCCACCTCCCTGCCCAAGCAGGGTCATCCCAGAGCACACAGCACAGGACACACAGGTCTGGAATATCTCCAGTGACGGAGACTCCACACCCTCTCTGGTCCCTGTTCCAGTGCCCCATCACTGCACAGTAAAATTTTTCCTCATATTCAGGCGGAACTTTCTGTGCATCACTTTTTGCTTCTTGCCTTGTCCTTGTGGTTGGCATGGAGCAGAACCCTGTCCACCTTGTCGGTGCGCCTCTTTAGATATTTATACACATTAATGTGATCTCTTCCTAAGGCTGAACAGACACAACTCCCTCAGCCTTTCCATTAATTATTTTATTTTCACTTTAGGCTTTGGTGCATTATCAGATTTGATAACTGCGGGAGCACAGGGCCATGTGGGGTGTCCCATGAGGGGTGTCCTCCTGTGGGGTGACCTATGTGTGGTGTCCCCGTGTGGTGTCCTCTGGGGTGTCCCCTCTGGGGTGCGCCCCTGTGGGGTCTCTTTGTGTGGGATGTCCCGTGTGGGGTGTCCTTGTGTGGGATGTCCCGTGTGGGGTGTCCCTGTGTGGGATGTCCCGTGTGCGGTGTCCCTGTGTGCGGTATCCCCTCAGCGGGCCGCGGTCCCACCGCGTCCGTGGCCGTACCCGGGGCCTCCACACCGAGGGCGGCGCCGCCATGGCCGGGGCGGGGCGGCCGCTCTGCGCCCGCCCTCAGCCGAACATGGCGGGTGCCGGCCGTGCCTGGCGGGCCGGAGCGCTGCTGCTGCCGCCGGCCTGGCGGCTGCGGGCCCCCGGACGAGCCTTCGGCGCCGCGGCGGGACGGGGAGGCGGCGGCGGGCGGCTGTTGCTGGGCGCTGCCTTCGCGCTGGGCGGCGGCGCCGGGCTCTGCCTGGCGGTGCGGCAGCGCCTGCGGGAGCACTCGGCCGCTGAGGTAACGCCGGAGCCGGCTCCGCTTAACTCACCCCGAGCCCTGCGAGATCCTCTGGGGACAGTGGTTCAGAGAGGGCCGTAGCGGTTCGTCCTGGTTTGAGTGAGGAAAGAGCTTAAAATTGTGTAAGGGAGGCCCTGGCAGCGCATTCCTTGAGCTGTAGGAGAGGCTGTCAGTGAGGGCCTCCTGGGGATGTGCAGCAGCTTTGTCTCTTGTTGCTTTTTCGCAGCGCGAAGGGTTGTGTAACCTGATAAATTGTAGATGAGAAGCAAAGCGGGGTGGCCGCAGTTGTTTTATAATGTGTGAGGAGTGACTGGCACGGCCTGGCAGGTTGCTGAGGTGCAGCAGCGTCGGGAAACATCCCTCAGGTGATGTCCCGCTGTCCTGGGCTCTCCCTGCCTTGTCCCCGTTGTTAGTTAGTCCTGGGAGTCTCAGCTTGGGCAGGCACGTGCTTAAAATCGACAGCAAACTCTGCCCTCCCCACCCTGTGGCCTCAACAGAGGGTTTTGTGGGAGAAGGATTGGCTTGTAAAGGCTTTCTTTGTATTTATTTAAATCTTGTAATCAAATGGTTGAGGTTTTTTTCTATAGAATTCTCTTCTACAGATTAGAAACTTTAGAGAGAGAAACTGTCTGGATTTAACTTCTGTTTTTTCCGGCTGTGAGTAGGAGTTTACAGCAGGTTAAATGGATGTTTAGAGAAATAGTTATTTGGTCCTAATGGGCAGTGATTATTTGCAATGCCATTTAAAGAAAGCATCTGATAGCCAAGATACTCTGATGATCATATATTGAAACTGAATGTTAGTGGCTGTGACTTCATGACAAAAGTAAGGGTGGAAGGAAGGTAATATATTTTTGGTAGAAAATGGAACCATCTTGTCCCTTTCTTCCCCAGCTGCCTTCAGGAAGCCTCCAGCTCACTCTCTACCAGTATAAAACGTGTCCCTTCTGCAGCAAAGTCCGAGCTTTTCTTGATTATCATGGACTGCCCTATGAAGTTGTGGAAGTGAACCCAATAATGAGGAAAGAGATCAAATTCTCTTCCTACAGAAAGGTGCCCATCCTGCTAGCCAACGCTGGGAGCCCTCTGGTAAGTCTTCCTGTCTTGAAAGCTTGATTTCCCCCCAAGCAGTAGTTTGAAGGCTGTTATGTCTCTGTGGTTTATCACATGCAGTGTAATCTTTAGATCATCTTTTATCCTCTCAAGAGCCAAAGATTTATTTCTCACTTCCTGTTTTCCTATTACTTGGCCTTATTATTTTGTTGGTCTGTCTTACAAGGCATTTAGTTTGTGTGGTGACTCTAATGCAGTGATTATCTGGTTTCTGTCAACCCTTCCAACCCTTCTGCAGGACATATCTTTGTACCAGAGGTAACAGGAACTGCTCGTATCTTGTGGGAAAAGAACAAGATCTCAAGAATACTGAAGAATCAGTTTGGCTTTTTTTTAGTGTTAGTGTTGCTTTTTTTCCTTCCTGCCAAGAGCCTAAATCCAAACCCCACTAGTACTACATGTGTGCCCAGCCCTGAGGCCCTCTGTGGTCAGAATTAAAGCCAGATTTGAAGTGATATTCTGAAACAATCACAGAAGAGATGTCTTGAGATGTCCAGGGACTCCTGTGGAAATCCATTGGGGGGAAAGGACCCGCAGTACTAACTAGGAGCCTCAGCATACAAGGGAAAAGGTTGTGAAGAATTTCCTTTTCTGTTTCACCAGCTTCTTTTAAAAAAGGTTGTTTTCATTTTGTTTTTCAGCAATTGAACGACTCCTCGGTTATCATCAGTGCAATAAAGACCTATCTTATTTCCAGGTAGGAAAACAGGGTGATGAGAGATGAGTTCAGCCTGAAGGACCTTGGTAAACTAGAGATTTAGAGAACTAAAGCCATAAGTCTCTTACTGACCTTGGGCTCTGAAGCTCTGGGTGTTTGGCCCAGCTGACCTGAGCCTGGCTGTGATAAAGTGGATGGTGCCTGTCTATGTTGTGTTGTGTGTACTGTAAAGCAAAGCCTTTCAGAAATACTTAAACCTACTTAAATATGGACACTAGTGTTAGTTATGGAACTGAGCTTACAATTAGCCAGTTATTATATCTAAAATGAAATGGAATTCCCCTGTCTGTGGCCTGTCCTTTAGGTCCACTTGAGAACTGTAGGAAGCTCTATGCCTGCAAAAATTTCTGTTCTGACACAAAGGTATATTCACTAATAATAGTTATTTGCAAGTAGCTGTTCCAGTCTCTTTTCAAAACTTTTTTTCAAGTAGAATCTGGAACCTTGTGCACTTATTTTTAGAATAATACATTTTATAGTGTGCAACTTTCAATCTGTCCTTTGCTCTCACTCCTTTTTTTGTAGCAGCCAGATCAGTGCTAACTGTGTTTCTATCCACAGAAGGAATAGCTTGGAAGAGATCGTGTCCTTTTATCCTCCTGTTAAAACCGTGACTGAGAAAGGCAAGGAGGTGATGGAGTATGAGAATAAATACTGGCTCATGCTGGATGAGAAGGAGACAAAGCGAGTTTATCCCGTCAAAGAAGTGAGAGTGTAAGTGCTCTTAAGTTTCTGGGCTCTCCAAGTAGGGTCACAGCCCCCTCCAGATGTACTCAGGGATGGTGTAGATGTAAAATCAATCCCACCGGGGCTGACGAGATCTGTCTCACCCCCATTAAAGCCTCAGTAGCTGGAGCGGTTTTCTGTGTTTGTTAGATAATTTGAAACAGTGCTGTTAGATGGCCTATTCACTGCCACCATGGTCACACTGGCCTTCAGCTGCTTACAGTTTTCTTCTTGGCACAAGGGAATGCTATGGAAGGACAGTTTCCCTTTCTACTTTACTTCTTGTATTGGGAGGAGAATCTAGTGCTCTATCTTAGTCTTAAATTTAGTTTGAGATTGAAGGAGCCTTGCCAAAGGTAACGATGCTGAGTGCATTTCAGAGAGGTCACCAGAGCACCAGGCTGGCCAGGAGTTACTGACACATTTGTCCTTGGCAGGATCTGAGGCTAATGCCACTGTGATCCTGCCTCCTGTAGCCCTGCAATCCGTACCTCACTCACTGAAATATTTCTTTCTTTTGGCTGCTTGCAGGGAAGAGATGAAGTGGAGAAAATGGGCAGATGATTGGCTTGTTCACCTCATCTCCCCCAACGTTTACCGAACCCCCAAAGAAGCCTTGGCATCTTTTGATTACATTGTCCGGGAGGGGAAGTTTGGCACCTTGGAAGGTCTCTTTGCCAAGTACGTGGGCGCTGTTGCCATGTTCTTCGTGAGCAAGAGGCTGAAGAAAAGGTTGGTATCACTGAGCACCAGTTACACGAGAGGAGGAATAGCTCCTTAACCTCCTTAGCTGTGAACCCCAGGTGTCAAAAGGGTAGAACCTTGGAGTTTTAAGCTGAACCATTTAATCCCATGTGAGTAACATCTGTACTTCTTTAACTGGAGGTACTGAACCCCTCTACTCATCTGCTATTTAGTTACTAACTGCCCCCTTTACTCTGAAGTACCTCCTTAATTCCCAAGCAAAGACCAGCCTGGAAGGTGAGAGATTATAAAGTGTTAACCAAGAAACCAATACATGTCTTCAGACTGGTTCTTCTCCTTGTCCAGACACAACCTTCGAGATGATGTCCGAGAAGACCTGTATGAAGCAGTCAATGAGTGGGTAAAAGCTGTTGGCAAACACCGACTGTTCATGGGTGGGAACCAGCCGAACCTCGCTGACCTGGTAAGGGGCTCATCCCTGCAGTTATTGTCACAAATAAATCATCCTGCTGCCCATCTGTGTGAAATGGTTAACACAAATACAGGCAGAGAAGTTGAGCTCCGTGACGTACATTGTCCATGTCCTTTGTGCAGTAATACAGTTCCCACACGGAGTTTTTGCCTATTGCTTTACATAGGACTGGATTTGTTGTTTTCCTCCAGAGAAATATTTCCAAATATAGAACCTGCAGTTCCCATCTGCAGGTGGATGTTACTGATCAGGTGGAAACACAATAAAAGCAGGTCAGAGCCAGGACACTGCTCTAGCTCATGGATGCTGGTGAATAAACCTCACAGGTGTTATTGCTCTCAGTGCTGCTGGGGTTTCCTCTGCAGGCACCAGCGCAGAGTGGAGCAGAATTCATTCTGTGCACCAGCAGTTCTCTGGAATACAAGTGAAGCATTTCATGCCAGGGCTTGATGCAAAGATGGGATTAACTTTTGCCCCATAACTGCACACAGATCCTGATTTTTCCTTACTGTTTCCTCATGGAAAACATGCATATTCTTAACTACCTTTCTGCCGTTCACTCTTCCTTGCTAATCAGAGTGATGGAGTAGATGGCAGGACAGGGCAAGAGCCTTACTGGCTTGGCTATTGAGACACTTGTGTTCTGAGCCATTCTCCACTGCTCTTTCAGTGTTGTTCTAATATTTCTGCTCTGTCACAGGCTGTGTACGGGGTCCTCCGGGTCATGGAAGGGCTGGAAGCCTTTGATGATATGATGGCTCACACCAAGATTCAGCCTTGGTACCAGCGCATGGAAGAAGTCATTGAAAAAACTGGAGTTGCAATCTGATGCCAGCTGCAGCTGCCTCCCTGAACTACTTGCATGGTGAATACTTCAGAAGAAAAGGCTTTTATTTTTAGAGTTGAAAGGACTGGTCACACCTAAAGACTGATACGAGGGCACAGAGACCACCCCGTTCAGAAAATCAGGTTACAGTGAAAGAAGGGTCCACCTGGGTCTATGTAGAAGGATGGGGACAGGTGAAAGGAAGGGATCTTGGATGCTGCTGGAAAGGAGAAGGTCTAAATTGAAGAATGCATCAAATAGGCTTCTTTTAGGCACAAGCCATCCTTGGAGCAGTTTACTGTAAAAGCAAGATGCTCTTGGCTGGTGTTAGATGTCAGATGTGGTAGGTCTGAGCAGCTTGTCTTCCACTACTCATCCATGTCATCTGAAGTGTTTTCCTGACTGACATACTGGATTCTAGTTTTTAAGTGACAATTTTTCCTGCAATAGAATCATGTAAGCCCAGTGCTGAGGGAACTGGAGGAATCCAGGGCACTGGGGAAGGCCCCCTTCCTGTGACAGCAGCGATGCTGCACTCGGCACGAGTGTGCTTTCTCTCTTCCATGTAAACGGTTCTCTCAGGACTTTGTATGGTCTGCAAGGATAAAGGATGGCTTTATTCTGTACCCTTTGTGAGATCCGAGTTCTTACCTTACCCTTACACCTGAAGAGCACACCCTACACTGAAATCACTAATGCAGAGCAGTTATTGGAGAGTTGTCTTGTGTGAGAGCTCTTTGGAGTACCACTGAAAATCAGTTTGTTCTTGTTTTAGGAAAAGGATTAAGAGCCATCTGCATGGCCAAGGGATCTCCAGATGTTTCTGCCATGCAAGAGTAATAAAGGATTTGCTGTTGTAGCAATCGAATTAGGAACTGTCCCTGTGCAATAGGAAGTCTGCTGAGCTGTGCTGGGGAGAGTCATAGAACAGTTTGGGCTGAAAGGGACCTTAAACACCATCTTGTTCCAATCCCCTGCCATGGACAGGGACACCTCCCACTATCCCAGGTTGCTCCAAGCCCCATCCAACCTGGCCTTGGACACTTCCAGGGATGGGCAACCTGTGCCACGGCCTCCCCACCCTCACAGGGAAGAATGTCTTCCCAATATCCCATCTAACCCTGCCCTCTGTCAGTGCAAAGCCATTCCCCCTTGTCCTGGCCCTCCACGCCTTTCTTTTCCAGCTGCAGAACCTGATGTTTGTCATAGTAAGAGGCAATGCAGCTTTGAGCGTGAGTTGCACGTCGCACAGCCCAAGACTTCAGTATCCTTAATTATCCCCTTGATCAAGTTCTGTTTCTCCAGAAGAAGGGGCAGGTTTCAGGGAATCTGATTTGTTGTGATATTTCAGGTGCAGCTGAAAGTGGTCTTTAATACAGCTTCCTGCACAGTGTGGGGTTGAGGGAGGCACCTTTATTGGGTATAACAATGGTGGTGATAGAGGTTTGGGGTTTTTTGCTGTGTAAGACTAGTTCCAAATTCAGTTATGATCTGACATAGAGAGGAGAAGGAAAACGTTTACAGTAAAACCAGCTGAGTGGCTGCTCTGTGACTGTTTCTTTAAACTATTCTGTACTGAAACTTGTGTTCCACGATATCAACAGATAATGTTGTTTTAAAACATTATATTGAAAGCACATAGACAGGAGGTTGAAGAAACCCTTTAGATAATTTTGTTGTCTGTCTCTAAACCCAAGAGGGAAGAGAGTTTGATGTTAGATGAGGATCTGAAGCACCAAGGGCTCAGTTGATGCTGCTTCTCCTTGCTGTGCTGTGCTACATCAGTCCTCTCGAGATGAATATCCATCATGCTAATATACTGATAATATTACATGAAATAAAGGTTGTTTCAGGATCTTGTATCACCTTTCATAGAATCACAGAATGCTAAGTGGTTCGAATGGACCAATCCCCCCCCTGCCATGGGCAGGGACATCTCCTACTAGACCAGGTTACTCAAGGCCTTACCAACCTGGCTTTGAACACTGTCAGGGTTGGGGCATCCACAGCCTCCCTCAGCAATCTGTTCCAGTGTCTCACCACCCTCCCAGTAAAGAATTTCTCCCTAATATCTAACATAAATTCTCCCTCTTTCCATTTGTGCCCATTACTCCCTGTCCTCTCACTCCAGTTCCTGATAAAAAGTCCCTCTCCGACTTCCCTGTAGCCCCTTCAGATACTGGAAAGTTGCTGTGAGGTCTCCACACAACCTTCTCTTCTCCAGGCTGAGCAGCCCCAGCTCCAATCCTCTTAACTTCGTGGTCCCCTCTGGACTTGCTCCAAGAATTCCATGTTGGGGACACACACACCCCCACCAGAACTGTATCTTTACCTCAGTAAAACTCATCTCGAAGGCAACACGAAGAAAATCCCCTTAATAACCCAGCGTTTCATCCTGTTTTCAGACATCCACATGCCCGCAGGGATGAGCAGCCGTTCCGCAGAACCCCGTGGCGGGCCCGGGGTGGTGCCCGGGGTGGTTCCCGGGGCTGCCGCGGCCGCTCGGGCGCTCGTGCGGCGCCCCTGGAGCCGCGGGCGGTTACCGGGGGGGGGCGGTTACCGCCGCTCAGGCCCGTTCGAATCGCCCAATGGTGGAGCCGCGGGCGGCGCGGCGGCGGCGGCGGCCCGGGCCGTGCGGCCGCGCCTCCTGCCCCTGGTGCGGGCACCCGCCCCAGACCTCGCTCCATGGCCGCGCCGCCGCCTCCCGCCGCTCCCCCGCCGCCGAGGGCGAGCTGAGGTGGCCGCGGACCCCGCGCGGGGCCACCTGGTGAGCGCCGGGGCCGGGCTTCTCCTCTCCCCGTGGGTGTCCCCTCTCCCTGTGGGTGTTCCCTCGCGGAGCCCCGGGAATCATCCCTTCCCGCCTGCCTTGCGGGGGTCCCTCCCGCCCGGGAGGGGCTGCGGGAGCCATCGGGCTCCGTGTAACGGCGGGCGGGGCGGGCGGGCGTTGGGAGCGGCCCCTGCGGCCTGCCCTGCCCTCAGAGCGCTCCCCACACCGCGCCCCTGCCAGCCGGGGGGAGCCGCAGGTCCCTTGGAAACCCTCCAGGGCCGGCAGGAGGAATCAAACTCCGGAGTGAGCCTTGTTGCCAGGCGGGCGCGGTGACAGCGTCTGGGTTTCGCTCGCGGTGATTCAAAAGCTCCGTCAGTGCTGGGCCTGCGGAGGGTTCAGCCCTTCCCTGGACAAAAAAAAAAAAAGAGATGATTCAAACACCCGGCGGTGTTTGGAGTTGTTCATAGCTGGAAGCTGGGGAATCCTGTTCCTTCAGAAAACTGTCGCTTCCTGTTCCTGAGTTAAGGGAAGTACTGCTGTGTCCCTTAAAAATTGCAGTTAGAATTTGGAGGTTTGTAGCTGAGTAATGCCATCATGTAATGGTACAAAACATTTGTATTGTTTAAACCAGTTTTCATCATCAGTGCATGAGGAGTTACAGCCTCGGTCCTTCCCTCATCCCGTGTTTGTCAGAGGAAGCCACAACACACCAACTTTTGCTGTTTGGGTTCATACATTTGATGTGTTTATGCCTGTGTGTTGCCTTAAATCAAAAGGATGTTCAGAAATTGGTATCTTTTCCTCTTACTCATTTTATTATTTCTGTATCAGGTGTGTCTCATCCCTCAATGAGGAATCGACTACAACCTCTGGACCAAACACAGTGTCCAAAAAACTCAAAAGCTTGAGAGTGACTGTAAGTAACTTTACCTGGGCTGACAAAATCCTTTTTGCCAGAATCAGATTAGTGCTGCTGGTGGATTTGTGTAAGATTTGCAATTGCATTATGCCATTACATCAACTGAGGCATTGAGCTCCGAGATGATGACTTGAACCTTACGTCTCTAGGCTTTTCTGTGTTGTGTCAGGTATTGGTTAAGGTGTTTTTCTGGAGATTAAAGAAATGCTGTGACCCAAAGGCTTTTAAGGGTTTTTTTGCTTCAAAAAGACACTTAAGCATGTATGAAGGAGTTTACAGGTTCAGAGTTCCAGGATGGAGTAGTCTGATGGTTTCCTGTTGATTTTTCTTAATCGTTAAATTTATTGTCCTCTCCCCTTTGAATTTCGCTTTGCAATCAGATTTTGTTGGTTGTGGGAATCCTTGATTTGCTTGCTTGCTTTAAGAACTTGATCTCCAATGACTCTTACGGACACCTACTATCAATCCAGCTGTGTTTGCTCTTCAATAACCAGGTTAAAAGCAGAAAATACTTGAAGCAGAGGAATTGTTTATGTTATTCCTAGCTTTGCAGAAAAGTAGCGTGCGGCTCAAAATGGCAGATGCTACCGAAAGAAAGCTCAAATGTTAACCAAGGTTGGCCGTTGTTCCTCTCTGGCACAGAGGGAAATGTTGTTATTTCCAGTTTCCTTATTCACAGGTTTCCCTTCATTGTATTTCCCTTTCCCGTTTGTGGGAGAAGAGCCATGAAGAACCGTTCCTCATCTCCCCCTTTGCACGTCCATGTGGATGAAAACACCCCTGTCCATGTCCATATTAAAAAGGGGCAGAAAACCACACCTGCACAATGCCAGGTAGGAGTGTGTACCTGGTTGTTTGTAAGGGCTGCAAAGAGGAAGGTGAATGGCCTTAGAAGCATCACAAAATCTTCCAGGTCTGTTTTGCTGTTGTGCTAGAATTGTAAGACTTGAATTCATATCCAGTGGTGAATTTGTAGTGACACATTTTCTGTGTTTGAGATGATTTCAGTATGATATAAAATGTATTGTTACTTTCCATGTTCTTGTGAGAAGTGTTGTTTCCAGTGTGATATAGTTTGGAGGATGTTTGTTTTTTCCTTTTATTTCCTGGATTTGTGTCCTGATAATGTTATTTCTTTGGCTGTGTTCCTATTTTTGTAGGAAAGGTTTGGGGAGAGGTAATACTTAGGCATTTCAAATAGCATCTTGATTGTATTCAAAAAAATGTGCTTAGAAAAAGAGTCTGGATTCAAACCATCTTCTAGCATTAAGCACCTTTCTCTGTCCACTGAGTTCTGCAGCAAAGAGAATCTTTTCCCATCCTTATCCACAGGAGGCAGAAGGCAGTACTGAAGTTGAGGTTCCAGCTATCCCATATCCTCCTTTGTAGCTGAGTATTTATGGAAAGTTGTTCTAAAAAGGTGCTGGAAGTTGCTAGCTCATTTTTCCTTATCTGCAGACATCCTGCTCTAAGTCCTCTGTTTATTTTGTGTTTGTTGCTGGTGGCAAATTTCATAATGGGATGAAATGACAGTGAAATCTGTGACTCCTGTTAACTAATTACTGGTAGGAAATGTTTAGAATGCTTGATTTTTCTCCAAGGGTAGAATTGTGCAAAAACACTTTATTTTTGCTTCAATCAGAGCCGCTCGAGTTCAATACAAATTAATGTTGGTCTGGGGAGTGGGGAAAACACTTCAGGGGCTTTCCACGATCAATCATGGTGTCAAATGATACAGCTGCTCTTCTGTGAGATAAATCTGGGATGGAGAAGGGATCTCCCAGGCATCTCTCATGTCCTACCTCCAGCCATACTCTCAGCTGAGTGCACAGTAATCTTTCCTTCTGGCTGATGTCACCTTCCTCTGGTGGCTGCTGCCTCATCTCACCTGATGCATCCTGTGAAATACTATTGATATTTTTATGTGAATGATCTTTCATTTGGTTTTGCAGCACTAAAAACTGTGAATTGTTCTTTAAAAGTCTGTAATTTATTTTATTTTCTCCTTCTTTAGCAGAAGCAGAAACCAAGAAAAGGGGATGGTGTGCGAGCCGTCCGGGTGAAAACTAAGGCCCCATGGATGCCCCCAGGCAAAGCACGTGCCCGTGATACCACCTTGAAATGGGAGGTACAGCTGGTTTTGCTCTTTAAAACAAACTTTCAGGTTTATCTGAGAATGAAGAGAGCAGTTGTGTAGTGAGAGAGCTGGGCAGATCTGAAAGGAGGCTGCTGTGACCTACCAGCTCTTTAAAGTGTCTTCTATAAATCCTTTTCACTTTTTAATATAGAAAAACTGGGAATTAGTTACCAGCCTGTGGCCATATTGTGCTTTTCTGGCTCTAGAAGCCAGACACATTTATTTCTTTATTGTAGTTTTATTAGTGCCCTTCAAATCTCATGTGGAGGCTCAGTGAGGGCCTGCTGGTCTCAGTCTCCTCAAAAGCACAGAGCATTTATGGAGCGTTGTGTAATGTTTTCTTTCTCATGGGTTGATGGTTTTGCCTGTTGTATTCCTGGCACGTCTTAGATGAGGATTTGAACTTTGACTAGTTTTTCTTCTTTCTCTGTTGTACTCTTTCTGCATTCTTGAGCTTTCCCACATGGAAATGGAAGAGCTGTTTACAAGCGGTTTTTTTCTTTACTACCCTCGCTGCAGTGATGTTGACCTGGTCTTTGGTTTTGGCCAAGTTAGGTTTAGAACACTATTTAAGATACTATCTTAAATACTATTTATAATGTTACACTAAAAGAATGATACCCTTTATTTTCTGCCAGGAATCAAGTCAACGCCTCGAAGTCACACCAGATTCCGAAAGAATGCAGTCGGTGCTGCGCCTGAGCGACCTCTCCACGGATGACGACGATGCCGCTTGCTCCCAAATGAACAAGTATGAAAAGAAGATAGACAGCCTGATGAACATGGTGGGAACGCTGAAGAAAGAGGTGAGGAGACAGTGTAAGGACCTGCTGACTTGGCTGTGTAGCTGATCCTTTGACAAGAGGAGGCTGGAGTCAAGTCTTGGTTCAATGGAAGGCTCCCCAGACTGTTGGTAGCTTGCTGTAAAACCAAAAATCCATCTGAATTGTTTAGAAGAGCTGAGCTGTCCTAGTGAGAAATGCCCTAAGCTGCACTATGAAACATTTCAAAACATTATTCATTTAATAATAACTTTAGTTTCCAAATAACCTCTCTTTTGCCCAAGCCCAAAATCTGCAAACTGGTCACTCCAGAAAGTGAAAAATATGATGTGTTGATGTTTTATTGTCAGAAAACCCCCTTATTCAACAAGATTGTTTCTTCTGATGCCGTTTCAAAATGTGCAACCCAGTGATGTGTTTTCCAGATAAATAGGCTCTTATGTACTTGTACCACATAAAAAAGGGGTAGGAGATGTTCCCAGGTCTCATGAGATGTGTCCTGGTGAGGACAAACTGCATTTTTAGCTTCAAGTTAACCCTGAGGGTAGCAAATCTTGGGTTATTATTTTACTCAAAACTATGTGAAGTTCAAATCAGTGAACAAGAAATCCTAAGAATAGGATTTGAGTCAAGTAGATTCTTACATCAAGCATTTTCCTTTTTTTTATTTATGCTACAGAATTTAATGGAATTACTTGCATGATTGTAAAACAAAAATCAATTTTAGATCATAGAATCATTAAGGTTGGAAAAGACCTCCAAGATCGAGTCCAATCTTTGACTGATCACACCTTGTCAACCAGACCAGAGCACTGAGTGCCACATCCAGTTGCTCCTTGAACACCTCCAGGGATGGTGACTCCACCACCTCCCTGGGCAGCCCCTTCCAATGCCTGACAACTCTTTCAGTGAAGAAATTCATCCTGATGTCCAACCTGAACCTCCCCTGGCACAGCTTGAGGCCATTTCCTCTTGTCCTGTCACTTGTTACCTGGGAGAAGATACTTTTTTGCAATATACTTTCCATAAGTTAATTGAATGTAAAAGGTTCATTATTTGGAATGTGGATTCTGTGTATGGCTTCAAAAGCACCTGGTTTAAGTTTTGTTTCAATATCTTCAGGTCAAGCTGCAGAAAATGGAGGAACAGGAGCAAATGACAAAGCGTCTCCTGGAGGAGCAGAAGGAAGAACTGAACGAGGTCACACAAGAACTGGTGGAAACAGAACACGAGAACACACGGCTCAGGCGCAACATCGAGCGCATAAAGGAGGAGAAGGACCTGACTCTGTAAGAAAGCTCCTGTTCTCGCTGTTCCTGCACTTGTGGCACTCACAGGGCACCTCCCTTTATTGCTGACATGGTCTGAGGTCGTAGTTGCTGCTGAAGAACTGATGCACTCAGATTTTTTGTCACCTTTGAGAAAGGGATCTCCAGATTGCAGTAGCTGCAGAGAAGGGCTCTAGCATGAATTTTGGAATGGAAAAAACCACTCTGAGAGGAACCTGAGAGCAGTTGGCTTGTATGGCCTATTGGAGGGTCATCCTAGCTCTGCAATTAGTATTTTGAAAGTTAAGAGATTCTGTTTGAACCACTAGGAGAACAATAAATTTATAAACATGGAGCTGAAAACTAGAAGAGAATTTTTGACTTTTATGAAAATCATGCAGAGACAGGAATGACAGACCTTGAGAGGACTGAACCATGGGGTTTTTTCTTGGTGACCCTGAAGGTCTGAAAGTGTGACATTTTTGCACCTGCTTTGTATCTAAAGAATTGGGAAAGTTTGTGTCTCCAGGGGGACACTAGTGTTTTAAGAAAGTTAGTTTTATTTTTTCCTTAAGAAAGATCACTTGGAAGTTAATACTGTGTATTCCTTTTTCAGAAAGCTCTGTGAATGCTTCTGAGATTACAAGCCCTGGCTAAAAACTTTGAGCTCTATATCTTGGTGTGCTTTTCTGTTTCATGCTCAGCCTTATGGAGTCTTATTTCTGATGTGGCCCAAGTGCCCAGGAAAAGCACAGCATTGTGTTTTGGGTTTAGTAGTGTGTGCAGGCTTTGGTATAAGCCTGATTTGTCCCCTCTAAATTCCTATTTCATGGCTATGATCCTAGGAAGCTCCTTGTGTCTGCTTACTGCCTTCTTTCAAAAAAATTTCCATGCTGAAAGAGGGTAAATCTTAGGTAGTCTGTGTTTAGAGCTTTTATCCTCTGATTCAGGGGTTTTTATGAGCTTTAACCCAATCAACTGTTTATCAATAGTGGCTGGTACAGCTGCCAAAGCTTCTTGTTTCTCTGATGGCTGAATTCTCCTTGCAGGCTACAGAAAGAATGCTTGCAGCAGGAGAAGGAGTGTTTGATGTCCAAGCTGAGTGATGCAGAAAGGGATGGAGCAGCAGCTGCCAGGCAGATCCATGCCCTGAAAAATACCATTGGGAGACTCAACATTGTAGGTGTCGTCCTTTTTCTTGCCTTTACTACGTTTTATCCTGTTATATAGTTGTCCTAAAAATGTAATGATGAAGCAAAATGTAAGGCAAAGTGGAGGGATTTAACATCCTTAAGGTGCTTGCTAGTTTGGTTTGGAAGTGGGGTGTTTCCTTGCAGCACCTTCTGCACACATGCACTGCTCATGCTGGTACTGGCTTAATACACTTATTCCATGTAAACATTTATTTACCTTTGGTTTTGTTCGTTTTGTTTATTTGGGGGGCTTAGGTTTTGTTTCTGTTTTGATTGTTTGGTTTGTTTATTTGGGGTTTTGTTCGTTTTTCCTCCAGGAGAAACACATGAGCACCACTGACATTAGTGCTCTGACGAGACAAAAAGAACTTCTGCTCCAGAAGTTGAGCACCTTTGAAGAAACCAACCGGACACTCCGAGAGCTCCTGGCAGAGCAGCAGAACCGGGAGGTGAGCACCTGGCTCATCACAGGAGGCTCTGTTGTCTTGTGGCTGAAAGGGAATTTTGAGTTTGAAAGCTTTTTAATTCTTTTTCCCAGCCCTGCTGTTGACCCTGTCAACCTATAAATGTTGAATAGGGGGTTTTTTGGGTTTTTTCTCTTTATCATACTTCACAGAGTAAGACTGACTTTTCTCCTGTGAGGATGTTAGAGCCACTGAGTTTTTGTATTAAAAGTTTCAGGTATTGCTGTGTTGCCAGCTCTGTCTCCTCTGGATCCAGCTGTATCTGCTGATCCTGCTGGTCTCAAATGTTTCTGCTGCACTTGCATTGCTTGGAGAATGAGGACTTGATGTGGCCTCAGCTAATGGGAGCCTAAGGATATTCAGAACTTTATTTTGGTAGACTCTGAGAGCAATAACAGAGAAATTGTAAAGGATTCTGTGCTGCTTGTACAGAACAACTCTGTATTGCTTGTAAGAGCACTGCAGAAATGAAATTGCTATTCTTTCTGTTGTTTATATTCTATTTCAGCAAAAGCAGGCTGATGGTAACAGTTATCTCAGCCACCAGTGAGGCTGGATAAAAGGTCTGAATTCTTCCACATGGCTGTCCCTGAGTGGTGGGAGAGTTCAGAAAGATCTTACATTGCCATCATGCTTTGTATTTTAATCTTTGATGGAGAAGTGGAAAAGCTTTCTGACATGGATAATGATACATTAAATATTTAGCATATTTGATGCTTCTGGATATCTCCTAAGAATTACTGCTGTAACTGGGAGGAAATGGTTGATTTGCCCAATTCCATTTAAAGAATCTGTATAAAATTTTTTTAGTTAACAATTTTTCTCATGTATTTCTTTTGTAGAAAGAGAACCAGAAGATCCTGGATCGACAAGCAGTGCTGCTGAAAAGGCTGGCTGAGTCAGATGCAGAGAACATGGTAAGCACACCACACTCTTTTTTTTTTTTTTTTTTTTTTTTTCATTTTTAATTAAAAAGCAGAGAGATCTAAAATGACAAGCCATTCTTTGTCTTGTGTTTGGCTGTCAAGTCTTACAGTAGTGCCTTTTAGACCAGTAAAAACTTATTTTAGCTTTGGTGATAATCAGAGCTACTACATTTCTCCTCTGATTAACAATCTGCATTTCAAAGTGGATAGATTTTCATTGCCTTTGAAATATGGAGCTTAGAGTGGGGACAGCTTTTTGTGTCAGCTTCTGTCACTGAATGAGTGAGTGACCTTGTGCCAGTTTTTATTAATTTCTTTATTTGTGAACTGAGACCAGAGTTTGTTTATTTATTGCCAGAAGTTATAAAACCTGCTGTGAGACATAGGTAATGCCCTTTTCAGTCTATGGAGTGTGTGTCCTGTCAGATCCTTTCTTGACTGGGTATCCTATACCCTGTTACACATATATATCTGTATCCCTTTTGATTCCTGCTTGAGGAGAATGCAGCCTGTTTTTCTGGGGATGAGGATTCTGTTGTTGTGGATACCAGACAGTGCCATGGATTAGAGGGCCTTGGGAAGGAGGCAGTTACAGCTCTTGCCTTCCACCTGCCATCCTAAATGAGTTTGTTACTGAACATCTGAATGGTGTTTGTTTTTCCAGCAACTTCAAATCAAGCTTCAGGAGAAAGAAAAAGAAGTGGACAGCCTCACCCTTCAGATACAGGCAGAAAAGGTAGTTTCCTTTTTCTGTTTGTCCCTCTCTTCACCACATTCCAGTTCTGTAGAACCACAGACAGTCCAAAATATGGGGTTGTGTTTGCAGACTTACTTTTTAACAGATCAGATGACTGACTTGCTTATAAAAATAGACAGACAGATGCCAACTCCCACACAGTTGTGGGCTCCATATTCTGCTAATAAGACACCTGTCACAAGGATGGATATGTAGAATTCCCTTTGGGCTTGGGCTCTGAATTGCCATTCTGTTTAAGGTCCTGTTGATTCCCAATGACAAATTCCAGTCTGTTCCTCTGGTTAGGAAGTAAAAGGGGAGTGCAATGGAAGAGATCAAATATGAAGAACATTTTACCCTAGAACGTGTCTTTCAGGCTGGTCATTCACATCTGTTGTAGAATAAATGGCTGATCATTTGTTCCCCATTTGTTGGACTAAGAGAGCTGTGAGGGTCCCTCTGAGGAAAGTGGAGGTGGCTGGAGACCATTCAGTGAAGAAATCTGAGGCTATGGCATATTGTGAAGTGTTTCTTCTATTAGGTGTGTGTCTTGTTCCTTCTTATCTAGGATCAGGCAAGGAAAGTAGCTGAACTCTCCAAAACTTTGGAGAATGTGAAAGCCCATTTTCAAGCCCAGCTGCGAAGCAAAGAATCTGAGAACAACCGTCTGATTACACATCTCCGGGTATGTCTGCCCTGCTCCCTGGGGACTGGCTCTTCCTTTACCCTCTTGAGCTGAATCGACTGACCAGGGAAGTAGCACCAACATCTCACTGGAGTCTGGTTGACTGAAATATTGGCTGATGATTTTTGTGACACTAACACACAGCATTGTTTTCCAATTAAATAAGAGAAGAGAAGTCTTCTCACCTCTGAGGCATAAGGCAAAATCTTAGCCTTAAGGTCTATGTGCATTAATTAGATTTTCTTTTTATTGAGTTAATTACTACATAGTTATTTGAAAGATGACTTTGGTTTAGTCAAGCATCAAGGCAAATTGAAAACGATTTAATTTGCTTTCTGGGAAAAATGCTGTGCCATGAGTTCCAGTTTGATCACACTCATGCATGTTTTCTATAGTATTAATGAGGAGGAGAAAGTTCCTCTGGTTTATTTTGTTCAGAGTTTTATATTTAACATATCTGTTGGTGTTGGGATGATGTTAGGAGGGGCATAAATGTGTTAATGGTTTAGAGGAGCTTTAATCTGTTTTAAGTAATAGCTGCATAAAGCAACGTTATTATATGCAAACATTTCAATTAATAAAAAGAGTGTCCTCAGGTAGATCTAAAGACTGTTAGACCAGTATTTATTTTGGTCAGGAGAGGAAATCAGTATTTTAGGGAGCAGCTTATGAAAGAAAGGAAGAGTCTTGTCATAAAAGGAAGACATTATACTGCCATCTCTCAGCATTAGGACAGGATTGTGTAGGTGAAACCTGATTGCAGATACCTCCAGGCTGAAGGCTGGGTGTTTGTGCCTGGCTCTCACCACCATTCCGAGGAAATTAGTTGCTGCTTTGGCTTTGCAGGTGTGATATGCAGGCGTAATTCCATGTGGTGTGTTTTGTTCCCCCTGCAGAATCTGGAGCGCAATGAAGCTCAGCTTAGGGCAGATTTGGAACTTGTCATGGACCAGCTGAAAGAGCTGAGGAATAAGGGAGATGCTGATAAGGAGGCCCTGAAGAAAGCTGTCCGTGCACAGAAGGAGAGGGCGGAGCGGAGTGAGGAGTATGTGCAGAAACTCACTGCCCAGCTGGCAGAAAAGGTACCTCTAAATCAGGGGGAGAGGCCTCCTTTCAGGTCATGCTTCTAAATTCTTGACTTCTGGTAGCAGCCCTGGGGAGATTCTCTGCTTCCAACTAATGAGGTTTATTTCTATCTTCATGCCTTGGCCCATTTATGCCAAGTTTAGAACAAATCCAGTTTGCTCATCTGTCACTGCATGTCCGAAGTTAAGGACATCTCAGTGTATTGTCTGCATATCCCACATCCAGGGAGGTTTTTTGTGCTCTTTTCCTCATGTATTTCCCATGTCTGACAGGACAACTGTATTGCTGAGGCCCGGTCCAATCTCGAGTCCTGGAGGAATCGCTGCAACAAAGCAGTAAAGGACAAGGGTGACCTCGAAATGGAAGTTGTTGGACTGAACAGGTTAGAATAAAATCAGTGTGGGGAAGGAAGCATGAGGGGGGCATGAGCTCAAAGTTCAAGGATAATTTAATTGCATTCAATTGAATAATAGCCTTGAAATGAATAATTGAATGGCTTGTAAATAACCAAGCAAAACCAGCACTGCCTAAGGGCTAGAGCAGAGTTTGGAGAGGTGGAGTGAGAGATGTGACTTCTGCTGCTGACTTGCCACAGCAAAGGCAGACTCATTAAGGGTTTGCTGACCCTTAAAACTCTGTTCCTTTGCCATTTTGTAATGCTTTGAAAGAATTAAGGTTATTTTTCTTTTGAGATCTGTTTGAGAAACTTGAATGGAAGATATTAAAAGAGATAAGCGGTATAGTTGATGCAAATTTTGATGTGAAGGTAAATAAATGTGTTAGTATCTCTGCAGTACAGTTGTTGTTGCAGGAAAAAGTAGGTAGATGTGAGATGAGAGAGGCACCTCTTTATCCTGTGTATCTTTGAGACAATTCTTTTGAGCTCCAGGGGGACAACTCCAGTTAAGTTCTAGGAGATATAAAAAGATTGAGGTAGTAGAACAGTGTAATAGGAAATGTGCATACATGACTGGAGGAGGAAGATGAAAGGGTAGGGAAAAGCCATGTTTCTGAAGCTAGTTTTCAAGGGTTAAGAGTCTCATTCTTGTCACTTAAGAATTAATTTTCTCTCTGTGTGGCAGCCGTGTTGCAGACTTGATGGAACAGCTGGCAAAGCTGGAGGAAAAAATGCGGGATGACAGACAAAATTTGATGGATAAACTGCATCAACAGGCTGGAGAGGCCAATTCTTTAAGAAAGGATAATGAAAGACTAAAGGTCAGTGACTCTGAGGGTTTGAAGATGGAATGGTGGGAGGAAAAGAAGGAGAAATTGTAACAGCTTGCTTGGCTGCTGAGGACAGAGTTGAATTGCACCCATTGCTCCTATTTGGTTTCAAACCAGTTTCATATAACCTGAGTATGACAGGGCAGGTGTGCTGGGAGGAGCCAAAGGAAGTGCACAGTGTGGGAGATCTGTGTTTCTTCCACATTTTGGCTAGGAGTATCTGCAGTCCAAGTACTGTTACTTCTAGCTGGGATCTTAAATCTTGTCCTTACATCTTTGTGCTGATGACCAGGGAACAAACAAAGAGAACGGTAATCTCCAGAACAAAAAAAAATGGCTGGCATATTTCTCTTCTTTGTCTCTTACCACTGGTGATCTTGTGCATGACCTACATAATTTTCTTCTTGAAAAGCTAGGAATTTATCAAAATAATTTGTCCCTATTCCAAGTAGGACAGATACTGGAAATGGAAAGGTTGCACGTCCATCCCGAACCCCTGTGCACTGCTGATGTAAATTTGGCAATCCACTGAAGTCTGGACAGTTTTGGCAACTTGCATGGACGAAAGTCTATTTTCTTAGTCTAGACAACATTAGACAGCTCATGTGGCAGGTACTTCCAAGCACTCAGTGGAATATGTTTGCTTTTTTTTCAGGCTGCTCTTGGCCCAATGGAGGACAAATTGAACCAAGCGCAGATGGAAGTGCAGCAGCTCCAGAACGCTGTCAGGAACTACGAGGGGATGATTGAATCCTACAAAGCACAGGTGGGCATGCCCCTACACCAGGGCTTATTCTGTAATTCCTTAACCATCCAAATCGAGCAGTTTTAGTTACTCCAAGGCATTGCTATATATATAAAAGATAACTATGTATAAATATATATATATAACTATGATAGATAAAGTCTGTGGGTTTTTTTGAATTTCCAGGCATTGAAGGCCCGAGAGGAAGCGGATGAACTGGCAGCAAGACTGGAGAGGGCTGAAAAAGAGAGAAAGGCAATAAGGGACGAAATGACTCAGGAGCTTGAACAGGTAACTATTCCTCTAAAGTCATATGTTATAGACATTCATGGATCTAGTGTTCTGAATGTAGTGAAAAACAACTGTGAATAGGAAATAAAAGGCTTATTTGGAGTTTGCCTTTTCCATTAGTTTTTTTGGTCTGATGTGACACAACTGGCTTCAAAAAAAGACCTTGTACTTCCAGTAAAATTGAAGCCCAGTATCTAAAATACTCATTCTCACACCATCCATAGGGAATGCCACACCCTCAGTGAAAGCCTTTTGGAGTAGGAGAAGACCTTAGGCTTTGAACTCCAACACTGGCCAAACATCCACAGCGTGTCATCACGGTTGTGGGCTAACAAAGCTTCATTGAAGTCGAGAAATTTCCTACTCTTGACCTTAGGAACACTGGAAAGTTCCTCATGTTTTCTTCTTTGGTTACAGACACGGAAGAAGTTCCAGAGCCAGCTTGCTGAACTGGAGAAGCTGCCTGAGATCCTGAAGTACACGGAGACACAGCTGGCGCAATGTCACGAGCAGCTCCAGAGTTATGAGAAGAAGAACACGGACCTGTGTGCCATGATTGCAGATCTCCGTCAGCTGGTAAGGGACTGGCAGAAAGTACCCGTACCAGTGCACACCTCAACTATGAGACGTACCAGTGCACACCACTGTGAGACCAAGATGAATTTGTAATCACAGCAAGGTTCAAACTTCGTCTCTATTCTCGTCTCTTTTTGAAAAGATTAAACGTGCACTGCAAAATAAAGGTGTGTGCCATGTCTTTGTGCAAGAAGTTAATGGCTTTGCTGGTAGCATTCCTTAAGATTTGAAAGGTTTCTCGTGCCCTGGTGAAGCATCTCATTGGGACATGAATAGCTGCAGTGACAGCACTTGCTAATGCCAGCACTTGCTTCTGTTACTTCCATCCTCGTCAGCTTTTCCTCCTGTGGTTTGCTGCTGATGGTGCTGTCCCAACCTTGTTTTCTCACTCTGATTTCATGTTGTTTTCCCAGTCCCTTTTTGGTGTCCCCAGGAAGACTGTAGGTGTTGAAGGACAATTTCAGGCAGGGATGATTTCTACAGCTGTGCCTCAAGACACAGCCCATGATCTCTGTCTGACCACTTTAGTCTGCTTGGTTTGGAATTATAAACCTTCCTGGTGTTTCAGGCTCTGATGCCTTTGTGGGTTGCTGGCATGTTTATGGCTGCTGTTCACGTGTGTGTGCTTGGCTGTGCTTGCAGGAATTTACAGGCCTGGCTTTTCTTTTGGAAGAGTTTTTCCATACCTTTCAAGACTTTAACTGGAAGCACCAGCAAAATGGATGTTTAGTGCTTTTCTGTCCAGTGTTCCTTTTCTGAAGCTCTCCAGAGATAATGAATTGAGCATGTTTCCTTCTGAGAGCTCATATCTTTTAGGTGGTTGGTCATGTGTGTGTAGTGACTACTCTGTGAAGTAATTAATTCCTGTAATTTTTAGATTGAGCTCCAGGGGGACAAAATGGAGATGACAAGAGAGAGATATCAGTCTGCCCAGGAGGAGAAAAAGCAACTCACCTTGAAGGTGGAGGAGCTAGAAAGGTTAGAAATATTAGGGTCTCTTGCCTTTTTAACATTTCATTTCCATTGTTTTTACAGGGGATTGAAACAGCTTCAGTCTTGTTCTGGTTCCTCACATGCCTCCAGGATTCTGTGCATTTGCTTATCCCACAAGGATCTCTAATCAGTAGCTGTCCACTGAGAGTTACATGTTTTTGCAGCAGCACCTGTTGTGAATGTTCTTAGACAGGATGATGGCTTAGAGGAAAAAGCAGCTCCTTGTCCAATCTAGCCTGGCAATTTTGAGGTTACTACGTATTACAGTATTTCAATATTTTGACCCATGTTTATAAATTACTTTTAGTGACAGTGTCTGAGAAGATGCAGGTATGTGGGTACTCTGCAGGTTCTTCAGTCTTAGAAATTTCGGTTTGAGGACCGGAGAAGCGTTTCTTGGGGCTCTCACCATTATGTGGGGAATGGAATCTCTTACCAGAGGAGTCAGGACCTGACAAAAAGGCAGACTGAAACACACTCCATTTAAAATGAATAGGTTTCCTTCCCTTATTGTCTTAAACTAGAAAACTAGAGACCACGAATGCCCAGAACATAGAATTCCTTCAGGTCATAGCAAAGCGTGAGGAGTCGATCCACCAGTGCCAGCTGCGGTTGGAGGAAAAGACCCGGGAGTGCAGCTCCTTGGCACGGCAGCTGGAGATGGCCATTGATGATGCCAAGAAACAAGTGAGTAGTTCCTCCTGTTTGGAAATTCACCCAAAGGTACCCAGGCTGTGAAAGGGGAACAGCGAGAATGCTGAAAGTGTCTCCTCAGCTTATAACCAAAGCCATTAGAATCATTGTGTTCAGTGAAATACAGATAATGTGCTAGTGCTGTTTGTCAGCACTTAAAAGGTTGAAAAACTTAACTCAGTTTGCAGTAGGAAAGAGAAAAGCACAAGGCTGAGCTGCTGCTTGTGTATGAGAATGTGTCAGTTAAGCTTTATAGGGCTTTTGTGGACAATGGGGTAGGAAAAAACATTCTTGCATAGCCAGCCCTTTAACAGTTATTGTTGTATGTAGGTGGAACAAACTCGAGAACGAGCAATCTCTAGAGAGAGGGCAGCCCAGTCCAAGCTTTTGGATTTGGAGACCCAGCTGAGTCGGACTAAAACAGACCTGAACCAGTTGCGTCGGAGCAAAGAGGATGTGAGTGACCTGTGGGGGATATTCCTGGTGTGCTGGTGGTGTCCTGGCAGCCACTGGAGTCCATAAACCAAGTCCTCTGGATGTGCTGCAGAGGTCATGCAGAGCTGTGCCTGAATGTGACATGCTGGTGTGTGTGTCCATGACAGATGTGTGACAGGACACGCCTGCTGCGTCACTGATTCAGGAGCGTGCAATAAGTGATGGGCAAATGAGAGTACAATAGCCTGAATGAACCTGATGTAAAGTTATGTGTGTGCAAGAGAAGAATCAGACCTTCCTTATGTTCAAATGAGATTTGCACCAGGTATCATGGACAGATTTCAACTTCATTTTGGTTACCTGAGAGAGAATGCAATTTCTCTTCTAGAGGAAAGGATTTTCTCTAGAAGAAAGGCTGGGAATCTGTCATGATTCCTATTTACCCTGCTTGCTTGCTTGCTTGAGTTTTACTTGGAGTTGTGTTGGCTCATGGATCAGGTCAAGTTGCTTTTCAGAAAAGAGTGTGTTTAATTCCCCATAACTACAGCTAATGAGTTTTAAAAGCCCAACTGATTAGCCACGTTGTCTCCTGTTTTTATCAGCATGTTGCTGAATGGAGTTGGAAATGAGCAGAACAAATTATAAATATCACAGCTCCATCTATGGCAATGCCATCTCCTGCTGTGCTAATTCTGGCTCTCCTTAGCATTTTGGGGGAGCAGTTTAACATGAGCAGGGTGGATGTTGCTGTCTCTCAGGCTGTGCTTTGTGCTCCCCCGTGTAGGCCCAGCGCCGGTACGAAAGCCGCCTCCAGGACCTGAAGGATCGGCTGGAGCAGTCGGAGAGCACCAACCGGAGCATGCAGAACTATGTCCAGTTCCTCAAGTCTTCCTATGACAACGTTTTTAGGGAAGGTGCCGTGCTGAGCTTCCCCGGCCGCTCTCGCTCTCCTCTCTGAGGGCAACGCTCCCCTTGCACCTCTTCCAAGCACAGAAGGAATGTTGTTTCAAAGCCATATTGAGACAGAAATCAGGATAGCATTCCAGGGTCACTGTCAGGAGACCTTCTCCTAGCAGCGTGAGACAATATAATGATGATGGCACCTGACCAAAACGGGGGGTATCAGCAATACCAGTTTGGCATTGGAGGTTGGTGTTACACCATCAACTGAGCCCCAAAACCAAGTGGTTTTGCAGAAGATGGAAAAGATCATTTTCATCCTGTAAGGAACTGATGCTTTCAGCTCTTGAAACCTGTCAGAGATTTGTTGAGCATGTTAATTTTTATAAGAGCTCTTTTTGTACTTCACTTTTCATTCGATTTCTCTGTTGGGAAGATCATGTGGGGGTGATGTGGGGAATTTTGTTTGTGGGGTTTTTTTAATCTGTTTTTTTGAACTATTGAACACTGTATTGATACATTGGATGATGGGCTGGTGGGAGAGGTTCCACCCACCAGAGGTGTGAAGCTGAAAATAACTGAGGTGCCTGGGCTCCACACGCACAAGAGATTATCTCCTGCACAGCCACAGTGTTCGTAACAGTTTTATACCAGAAATAATGATTTTGGTTTGGTTTTTTAAACTTGATTCTTATATACTCCCTGATACTTACCTTTATTTCTGAGTGTGATGCTAATGTTGCTTTGCTCCTCTCACTCTGATTTTCTGATCCTGATTATCACAGAATCTCAGAATCCCCAGAACTGAGCCAAAACAATCTGAATTTGAAGGAAAGATTGTGGTTTAACCTCAGCATCACTTCAGTTGGAGTCTTGGTGGGAATGTCACTCATAGTCAGGATGTGCATGAAATCCTGACTTGGTTTTAAGCCAATTAAGGAGCAGCTGCAGATACTCAACTTTATCACATTTGCCTGAACCTTCTCCTGGAAAATCAGGTCTTTGGTGTGTCAAATCTCTAAAATCCGTGTGCTCTCTAGTGCCCTGTTGTTTCCACTAAACGGTTCTTATGGGGGCAAAAGTAAACCTTGTTTTTATGTTTCTCTCTTTCATATCCTATTTATGTGCAATGTGATGTGGTCATTGGCACTGTTTTGTCATAAAACTTTCCTAAATGAATCATTTTTTTGCGAGATCTGTAATTGTGTGTTTAACACTTTAAAAATCCCAAAGGTGCTATGGTAAAACAATAAACTAGATTTTTAACTGGTTTAATAGATTTTCTCGGCGGGGCTTTGCTCTTTGTGCGCTGCGTCTGGGGGTCTGATTTTGGAAAAGCAAACGCATCCCTGGGGCTGTCGGTGCAGGCAAGTGGGTTCCTAAGTGTTTCTGTGGTTCGCAGGTGGAGCCCTCTCCCTGCACCTGGGATGAACAAATACAATAAGTGGAAAATCGGTGAATCTGTGGGTGTTTCCCGGTTCGTTCCCTGGGCTCGTCCCTCACGGGAGGCGCCGCGAGCGGGATTCGAACCCGCGGTTCTGGCGCCCGGCAGGGCCCCTCCTGTCCGCCAGGGGGCGCCCGCCGCTCCTTCCCGCCCAGCACGAGGCCCGGAAGAGGCGGGGCGGGCCCGGCCGGGCCGTGAGGGGACCCGGGGCGGTGAGGGAATCCCGGGGCTCTGAGGGACCCCCGCGACCGTGAGGGACCCCTCGGGCCGGGCTACACACGGGCCATGGAGTCGTGGCAGCTCCGCTTCGAGACTCTGGAGGCTCTGCGCCTCTCCAGCAAGGGCCAACTGAACTACTGCCGCCACTGGCAGGAGGATGAGGTGAGGGCTTTGAAACACCCCCGGAGCGCGCGGTCAGGGAGCGGGGCTGACCCGAGGGGGTTCGGGCGTCCTGAAAAGTCGGGGAGCTCGGGAAAAGTGCTGGGAAAACACCGTGAGAAAGGGGTCAGAGGGGTACTGAGCTGCGGTCATAAAGCGCCTGGTGACGGAGCGGGTGTGCTCGTGGTGTGTTAAAGTTGTGTTGCTGTCTCGGTGTGCTTCGCGCTTACGGGGGATGTCTTCTCTCAAGGGTGCCTTGGAAGGGTGTGTGGCTCCCATTGAGCTCTCCCCGTACTGCGGCTGGGTCCTGGACAGCATTAGTGGGCAGTCAGCCCCAGAAATCACACCCTCCGGGACTTCTACGCCCAAACAATCCACCCCCGTCTCAAAACGGGCATCCGCGGAGAGGGTCCCGCCTGGCAGCCACCGGAGCTCTTCACCACCTTCATCCACAGAGCCGAGTGAGACCAAGGTAGCTCTCTGATTATAATCCATATGCTTATGGAGCAGCTGTGAGAAAAAACGTGCTGACTTGCTGCCATAAATTGATTAAGGCTGGTTTGTGGTCTGTTTTATAGGGAAAAGATGCTTAGTTTTAACTTCTTGTAGCATCAACAGAAAGTTTGAAGACTCCTCCTGGAGAATGGTTCAAAGTATAAACCTGTCTTGACTTCTTCCAGTGTAACATTTTTCCTGAGCGTTAAGACAACATGGAGGGTGTGTCTAGGCTTTCCAGGTGAATGTCCTGATTGGTCTTTATGAATGTCCTAGAGTCTCTTGGTATCTCTGCTTCCAGTCTTAGTGATTGGAAAAGTAATCATCCCAACCTCATGAACGTGCTAGAGGATACAATGGTGTGGCTGCACTACTGAGATACATAACTGCTCTAAAAACATGCATTCATTGACCCCTTTGCCTGTTTCTCAACAAATAATAGTTACGGGGACTTGATTTACCTGTTTTCCTCTGTGAGTTGTTGATCCTGTGCTTGGTCACTGATTTTGCTTTTACTATGACCACGCAGGGAAATGATCATCTCAGTCCCCTGGAAACGGATCAAGAAGTCTCTCCAGCAGTTCTGTCATCCAAAGTTGCAAAAGTCGAAGGCTGCATTCGAATGTATGAGGAGATGCACAGGTTGAAAGCAAAGGTAAGTCAAAAAAGGTTGAGGGGCTGTGTGTGAATCCCAGCAGAGCTCCATAGTCAGATGTAACAGTGCAAGGACAGTAAGTCCTAAATGTTGGTCCACTCTGGGCAATTTAGTCTGTATTTTCCTATATTCAAATTCTGCAATTGTGGTCCCTCTGTAATCCAGGAGAGGCTGAGGCAGAGGCAGGAGGAGCAGGAGCAGATGGTGAGGGCAGCCTATGCCCAGGCCAGCGAACAGCTGAAGCGCTTCGATGAACTGCGGGAGCTGAAGCGGCATCAGGAATTCCAAGAGTTGCAAGAAGTAATGGAGAAGAGGTGAGATTAGCTCTGGTATCCTTAAAATCATATAGCATTTAATCAAAGTGAGGATTAATTCTTGTGCCTGACACAAGTTCCGTGCTGGTCCCTTGTTGTTGAAAATTTCACCTGCTGCTTTTCTTGCATTGACTGTCCTGTTACAGGTTGTCAGAGTAGATCTCTGGTTACTGCTGAGGTTTCAGTGGTTAGAAAAAGACAATATTTGTGACAGTTAAAGTTCCCTTAGCTTATTTTAAGGGTAAATCGCGGTGTGTTTGTATTTTGTCTGGTGGATATCTTGAATACAGTTTTTCTGTCTTCATGTGTCTCGTAGCTCAAAGGAAGCTCAGGGGCAGCAAGAGAAGTTGAAGGAAGAACACCGACACAGAGCAAAGGTCTGAGGCTTTTAAGCGTTGTCTTTCATACAAGACCGTGACTACTGGGGGTGGGAACTGGAAAAAGACCAATTGATTTATTTGTATTTCCGTGGCACCCTGGTGTGAGGAGGGATTTTCTGGTGCTGACCTGGGCACCTGCTGCGGTGTGGAAATGCAGTAAAAGCACATGTGTTGTAGGAGCAGGAAGGCCCTGCAGGGCTGGGAGTCGTGAAACCGGGAAAGAGATGTAAAGCTGGAGTTCCTTAAATATTTTGTGACTCTTGTGTCTTTTTTTCTCCAGATATTGAACCTCAAACTGCGTGAGGCGGAGCAGCAGCGGCAGCGCCAGGAAGAGCTGGAGCGTTTGCGCAGGGAAGAGGGGCAGGAAAGATTGCGTCGCCTTTATTCCATCCAGGAGGAGCTGCTGCAGCTCAACCAGCAGATTGATCCCAACTACAGGCACAAAGACTTGCCCAGAATCGACCTGTCTGCCTACAGCAATCGTGGCAACCAGATCTGTGGGCTGGTGTCAGGGCTCATCCGTACCACGAGTGAGGTACAGGCTCTGCAGTTGTGCTTTGGCTGTTCCTTCATAAACTTTCCTGCAGTTGTCTTCAAAAGCAGCTTGTCAGGAGGCCGTTAAATAAGATGTCACAGCAATGTTTTTAGACTCACCCTATAAAGCATCTAATTTCAAAGGGGAGTTCTTTTCTGTGGCACTTCAGCTGTTCTCTTGAAAGCGGCTTATAAAAATGCATGAGGACTTCTGCGGGACAAAAGAGTCAAATTAAATGACTGTAAAGTCTTGGTGCTGTAACGTTCCTTTTTGAGACAATGAAATGTTCAGTATTTAACAATTCATGGACCATCTTATGATTTTCCTATGCTCATAAGCCTTTTGCAGTAACGGGGTTTCCTTGACATTTTTTCTCTCTAGGGTGGGATACAAACCTTGAAAAATAAAACACTAATAAGGCCAGTTCTTTGTTTCAGTTTGTCACAGCTGGCTTTCTGCAGAGGAAGTTGTCAAGACTTTTCACTGGAGTTCACTTACACTTGTCCAAGTGTGTTAGTAATTTTTGTTGTCCAAGATCTTACGAGATCTAGTCATGGACTAACATTATTTACAAATATTATGACCAACATTTTGTACAAATAAAGGAGATGGGGATGGAATGTATAGTTGGCTCCCAGATTATGTGAAGGCTCATGCTTCAAAGGCTCCTTGCTCTTGCAGTTGTTCCACAGACAGTGGTTAATGGTGTGTTGCCTCCTCTGTTTTTGTCAGAGAGGTTTCCCTACTCAAGCAGACGTGGCCAACACTGAGCGAGCCCTGCAGGAGATGCGAGGGTTGATATCCAGCATGCAGCAGGAAATCACTGCGGCCCTGGAAGAAAAAAAGAGGAAAGATGAAGAGGAAGAGAGACAAAAGCGGAAGGAATTAGAGAAGAAAGAGCAGATGAAGACTCAGACTCCTGTCCCTGCACAGCAATCAGGGGGAAAGCAGCAGAAGGAAGGTTGGTGAGGCTTTTTTTTAATCTTTATTTCTTTGCCTCCTTTCCCTCTTTTCAATCTTTTACCATTGGGCTAAAGGCTGCTTTGGAATGTTTCTGTTGTGGCGACACACCCTCCCAGAGCCTTTACTTTTAGCACAACTGTCAGAGTGGGTGTAGGACTGCTGGCAGAAAGCTTTTGAAATTGAACTGCTGCAGCATAAAATGACTGTGTTAGCTGGAGCAAAACCTCCTCTTTCTGGGCAGTATGGCATGTACTGGAAAATTAGAGAGGAACATCATGTCCTCTTGTGAATGTAGATGGCTCATGCATGATAGGACAAAACATACAAGGTCAGGCCACTGAAATTACTCTTCTGGGCAGTAAGTTAATTCCAGATATCCTAAGCTACTAAGCTGAAGGAGAACTCCTGTACAACTTGCAAACTTTTAGTTTATTTATGAACGTAACTTTCTAAACTAAGTTCTGGGGAAAGAAAGCACTCACGCAGCTCTGTTCCTTGCACTGTTTTAAAAAAAGTTTTCTTCCTAGAGGTTTAGGTCTTTCTTAGTCATTGTCTTTTTTGTTTTGTTTTTTCTTTCTTTTAATTGCAGGGCTTCAAGTTAAAACAGAAGAAAGTATTATGCAGTGGTACCAACAGCTTCAAGATGCTGCTGAGCAATGTGTTGCTTCTTTCAGTGAAATTGGAAACTGCAAAGGCAACACTGAGGTAAGGACAAATTATTAATACTGTCAAAGAGAGATTATCTTAGTTTCAAGGACAAATAGGTAGGACAGCTTTCATTTAAAAAAAAAATTAAAAATTCTAATGTAGCAGCCTCTATTACCAGTCTCCTCATCCAAACTATCATAGTAATATACTTGTCTGAAAAGGATTTTAAAGTTGTTTGTTTGTTCTGCAGGTGAAGAAGATAAAAACAAACCTGCAGAAAGCAGCTACAATCCCTGTGAGCCAGATCTCCAGCATATCAGGTCAGGAAAACGCCAAGAGCTCAGTCCCACTGAACTTCCTTTTGCTGTAAAGATTTTAGCAGGACACAACATACCAAGTGTTCCTATAATTATCCCTACAGCAGAAGGCTGGCCTGTGTACAGTCCAAGTCTGTGCAGCAGTGTTTGCTTG